AGCAGAGGCAGAGCTTCGAGACATGGTCTGAAATGGATTTGACCTTTCACTGTCTGTTGCCAATGGTGAAGATAGTACAGAATGCAGCAACCTGCAATATGAGAGGGGTTTTAACTCACTATGTGTTAGGATGATGACATAGAAATGATTCATGAACTAAGTAGAGGATACTTCAAACTCAAATATAGGTCTTTAATTCCGGTAGAAATCCTAGAAACCAAATACATTCAACAGGTTGACTCTCTTAGTAGATAGAATTGAATATAGCATGTAAGTTTGACATATATGATTTTTCAGGCACCATGTGAATCAACAAATTTTGAGGATGTAGAATTTAAAGTATAAAAGTAGCAGATTGTAAAATATACCACTGTTCTTTCTAATTATTATTTGAAGAACAGTATTCATGTATTACATGCCATGCTGAAGAGGGCATTGGGAAGCTTTTACAAAGAGTATGACAAAAATCAATAAATTGTGGAGGTTTGCAAACTGATACATTAAATTTTTCCTCATCTTGATCCATATCTCAAGCATTAATTCAGCAATCAGTTTTAATTATAGATTATATGATTATTTAATTCAGTCAGTTATTAAAGTTATTTTTTCTAGAATAGGTGTGGGTCATTCATTTACATTATTGGTAGTGCAGTTACAGTCCCTTTTTTCTCCTTCCAAGATAGAGCTTCATCTTTTTTCTTTTTAAAGATACATTAATTTGACATTGCTATTATTCTGTTGGACAAGAAGCTTTTATATGATCCAAGACACATTCATAATAGTGTGCAGTTGCTCTGTTAGTCATTCATATACATACATACATACATACATACATACATACATACATACAGTTTAAAATAAAGCTAAAATGTTTTTCCATATAACATTACTCTTTTATTTTAAATAGCACACGTTAGTTACCTGATAATTCTTCTGATAAAATAATTCTACTGATAAAAAAGACCCTATCCTGTTTGAATTAACCCTACTTCTGCAATATTCAGTCAATAAATTGAGATGTGTTAGAAAATACCTACTTATGTAAGTTAATGTGAAATATCAGAGAAGTGAAACAATGCTGTAAATACATATCCCTTAGAATGGGTTGTGCTTGTGTGTATATATACTAAAGATAAGCAGCCTATTTCAAATTTAAACTTATATATCAGCAGTGTCAAGTCATGCTTTGACTTTAAAAAGGTTGCTTTGATATTCATCTGAATATATATTATAAAGTAGGATTACTTTTAAAAAATTGCAAGCAAGGACTATGTTTATGCCCCTGTCTACTCGAAAGCAGCTTTTCCTAACAAAGTAAATTATTTCTATATATATTGAAGAGAAATATATCACATTTTTGTTGTTTATCTCAAAGGTACTTCAAGTGTTGCAAGAGCATGGAGTGGAACCTTTGATGAACTTCTTGGAAAACAAATTGGTTATTTTTTCAGAACCTACTTCAGAATGAATTATTCTGGTTTAGCAGAATATCCAGATTTTTTTGCAGTCTGTCTAATATTACTTTTAGCAGGTACAGTACTTTTAATGTTCATTTTTCTTTGACAATAATCTTTGTTAAATGAAAAATGTGTTTTACATGTAATGCTAGATTCACATAAAGTTATAGTGTGGTGTACAAAAATATAATCTGATTCAGGTATTTGCAGTCAAAAGTTTAATATTGTGCTGCAAATCTGTGAATCAGTCCTTATTTCAAAGGTATAATTACAACTGGATTATTCTTGTGAATTAAAAGTTAAGTGGTTAGTAGCATTTTTAGAGTGAGAGCAGTTTTGGGCCCTTTATTTGTCAGTGACTATATTTGGGGTTTTCCCATATAATCACCAGAGGAATAATTGTATACAGGTTCCTCATTTAGCAACCACAATTAGGACTGGCAACTTGGTTGTTAAGCAAAGCGGTCACTAAGTAAAACAGTTGTGTTTATGATCTTCAGTTTTCCTTTGCTTTACAGATCTGCAAAGTTCATAATGGAAAGATTGGTCATAAAGTCATTTTTTTCATCACCATCATAATTATGAGTGATCATTAAACAGGACAGTTCTTAAATAAGGTCTATTTGTATTCACTGCAGCTCAAAACTCACACTACAGTGTGAATAATGTATTATCTGCATCTGATGATATTAGTGGCCTACTTTCATATGTTTTTCCACAGTTTTTCTGGCTCGGAGGATAAGGAGGATGTAGGCCCAGTAGAGGCTTGCATTGTGCAGTGCATGTAGACAGATATGTTATTGTATGTGTGGTCAAATATGATAATTGTATTAGAAACATTAAGAGACCTTGTTTGTGACTAAAACATCTCTTTTATAGGACTTTTATCATTTGGAGTAAAAGAATCTGCATGGGTAAATAAAGTCTTCACCGCTGTTAACATCTTGGTTCTACTCTTTGTTATGATTTCTGGCTTTGTGAAAGGCAACATTAATAACTGGAAGAGAACTGAAGAATTTCTGATAAACTACACTGCAGAAATAAAGTAATATGGCTTTTTTGTTCTATATTCCCTTTCCTTCTCTCATCTTTTCTGTTCTGAGAGCATTTACAGATCACACTAAACTAAGAATTAGGAACCTCTGTCCATACCCCAAATTTAGCTCATGTAGCCTGTCACCTGATACAGATGGCACACTGAAGACGGGGTGGAGCAGAGGTGGTATTCAGCAGTTTCTGACCAGTTCTGGAGAACTGGTAGCGGAAATTTTGAGTAGTTTGGAGAACCGGCAAATACCACCTCTGACTGGAGATTTTACAGTATCCTTCCCGTACCACGCCCACCAAGCCAAGCCCACAGAACTGGTAGTAAAAAAATTTGAATCCTACCACTGGGGTGGAGGCTATCAAAATGCTATTTCTCATATTTGATGTCTGGTGATGGAGAATGCAGAAAACAGGAATTGCACATAAATTAGAAGTTATGGGTCAAGGAGTGGGCTGTGATCCAATCCAATAACATTATTTCTTCTTTGACCAGACTTTCTTTGGAAGGCAGTGGTTTAATTCTTCTTTCTTTTCTAATCAGCCAGAGATGACATTCCTTTTTTGTTGATTTTTTAATTTAATTTCATACAAATTGGGAATCATAAAATAAAAGATAATGGTTCCTATCAAACTATAATAAGTGGTGGCATCTAGCTGACTGGGGGTATCTTGAAATACCAAGAAAGTTGAGATTTGGGTGGGAAAACTATAAGGAAATCCCAGGGCTGAGGGCTAGGTTGGAAAATGTAAAGTCTCAGAAAAAGGCAGTGGCAAATCATTTTCATATAATTGCCAAGAGACTACCTTGACATGCCTGTGAAGTTACTGGGGTCATCCTTGAGCCAAGGAAGATTTTTAACCTGGGTTGTTTCATAGGCATAATTAAATAATTAAAATTATGTTACTTTCCTGTCCCAACTTAAAAATAAATGCAGAAATTTACATAATCTCTTATTTCAGAAATTTACCCAAATGAAATTGGTTTGGTGCTTTGCTTCTAGTTTAATAGATGGGATCCCTCACAAAAAATAAGAGGCAGGGAAATGTATTATATTCCCATGTTCTTCACGTAGCAACATTTTGACTGAAGTTACCACCATATTAATCATTAACCTGGATATGGGAAATACCCAGGACTGCAGACTAGGCAGAAAATGGGACTAGTCACTTTAGATCTTCCTCCTTTATTTGAGGAAGATACAAGCAGCGCTAGTCTCTATTTCTCCTTTTTGTTACTTTATCACTAAAACTAGGAAGAAGTCTGTAAATTATAATACATTCTAAGCTTCGTAGTGTGACTCTTTTTTAAAATAAGTCTTAAAATCGCAGCTGTAAAGGAAAATCTGCCACAGATCTGCCATTCCTTTTATGACAGTAATGTGTGGACATCCATCTAGGTAGGAATGGTGAAAACTTGCAGGATTATAGAAAAATATTATTTTGGTGAGCATTGATATTTAGGAGAAATCTGTGGGTGCTTTATCAATAAAGAAAAATAAGCAACTGTCAGTAATTTGAGTGACAAAATAAGACTTCTTGTTCATTACATGTATAAAGCAGAGTAGTTGTAAATAGTATAATGTGTTCTACTTCAAATACTTCATTTCTATCATGAATCTTTGTCAGATATATTACCTTATGAAGTGGAGTTTAAGATCTGTGAAGAAGGCAGGAAACTAATGATATAGCTGGACTAACACCACCAATCTATATAGTGCCACAACTAAATGGAAAGATAATTACATTCTACATTGCTTTAGGATTGTTTGATAACTACAGTAAGTGATAAATATCTAAAATTGTTCTAAATTGTTAATTGTATATTTAGAAATCTATCATCCTCTGAGAATGTGACAAGTATATTTGGAGCTGGTGGCTTCATGCCATATGGCTTTACCGGAACGCTAGCTGGCGCTGCAACTTGCTTTTATGCCTTCATAGGATTTGATTGCATTGCAACTACTGGTAAGCTTTTAAAATTGTGATGTTTTAATAGAAATTGTTAGATAGATCTCCATTTTATCTCCACAACAGCCTTTGTTTGTGGTTGTCTTGAGAGAGATTGACTGCCCCAAAGTCAGCCAGTGAGTTTAAAAAGTAGAAATGATCACAGTGGGTCTTCTGAATAAACATGTTTGAATTATGTGCTCTAAATCAAATACATAAGCATATTGCTGTGCTAAATTTAACCAAGAATATATTTAGCCATTGCAACCAGATATAAGTTTTCCAATAGATTTAGATAATTGTTCTTGTACTGGGTACACATTCTAGATGTTTCTTTCTTATTGGCCTTTTGTCATCTGAATACATCTGAATAATCCCAATATCTTCCATATTTCATGTTCACTGTAGTTTCATTTATTTTCTCCTCGTAGGGGAAGAGGTCAGGAATCCTCAGAGGGCCATTCCTATTGGAATTGTAACATCTCTACTTGTCTGCTTTCTGGCCTATTTTGGAGTTTCAGCTGCTTTGACTCTTATGATGCCATACTACTTACTTGATGAGAAAAGTCCTCTCCCCGTAGCATTTGAGTATGTTGGATGGGGCCCAGCGAAATACCTTGTAGCAGTTGGATCTCTGTGTGCTTTATCAACAAGGTAAAATAAGAAAAAAAGCAATTGTCATTAAATAAATTGAGTGACAAAATAAGACTTCTTAAATTGTTCATTTTAAAGCAGAGTAGTTGTAAATAGTAAAATGTCTTCTACTTCAAATCCTTCTGTTTAGCTTAAGTTTTTAATCTGTGCACTACTTAGCGTGAAGAAGTCACTGAATGGACTGTTTCATTATTCAGCCAATAATTAATCACAGTCTGAGGAATATAGTCTAAGAATTATACTGGTTTTATACAAAATATTCATGGTGGATAAGATCAATACATTACAGCCCCTTTTTTCAGTCCCATTTTTTTAAAAAAATAACACATTGAAAAGATCTTCTAAAAAGTGCAGCAAAACAAGGAATCCAGTTTTTCCCTCCAGAATTATTCAATTGAAATTCCTAAAATATTTGCTTTTAAGTGTATGCTTACAATAATTGCATCAGATTTGGATATCTAAAACTGTTTTCTAGCTTCATTGCCTGCTAATACAGTTTGTCCAGAGTGAAACATAAGATTCAAAGAAACCCAGTAATTCTACAGCTTATTGAAACCAGTCTTTCTGTTTTAGTTTAAAGTAAATGTGATTTCAGTTGATATCACATAAAAATCTGAATTTGTTTCGGAGAATTATTTCTTCTATAACAGAGACATTCATTTTTATATCCCATTAATAATTACTGCCATATATACTTTAGTGTACTTTGGAATTTTTCTGAAGCAAGTTTTTGAACTTGGTGGTAGAATTGTATTTTTTTTTTTCCTATTTCAAATCTTTTGCAGCCTCCTTGCCTGTTTTTAATCTGGCAAAACACAACAAATGAAAACCATCGTTTTATTCAGATGTCACTGAAAGACAGGAAATGTGATAGGTTAAAGAGACAATTCTGCAATGAAATACCTGAAATACACATCTTGGCTAGTTTTAACTTGAATAAATACAATAACATATATATTCACCACTATAGATCCACCAAATTTTATTCTGCTTTGAAACATTAAAAACAACAACAATGATTTTTCCATAACATTGAAAATTGATTTTAAAAATGTTCACCACACCAATACTTTAAATATGCATATGTGTAAATTTCAATTTCAGCATTTTGGCTAAAATAAGCAATATTGAGCTGGCTTCCTAATGCTTTTATATGCCTGTTTGCTAATAATGCTGAGGCTATTAGCCAATATATTTTAAAATGGCATATGATGTCATAGGTATAAGTAATCTCTTCAACATTCTAATATTAATCAAATCACCCATTGTAATGTAGACAAGATATTCCTAATATGAACCATAATTGGAAGATTAGAACTTGTACTAAATGTTATGATGTGGTCTCCATTTCTCTTGCTTAAGGATTGTTCTAACCATAATTTCATTTATTTATAAATAATAAATGGTATTGTCCTTATAACTGGATTTTAATTGCAATGACCTTGTAAATTTTAATTAATTGATGCAAATACATGCAAGTTTGTGTCATAATAATAGCTGTCTTAAAATTGTTTTCTTATTTATATTTCATAAACCACAGTAGTTTTGTTACTTTATTCCACTATATGGTATATATAGTACATAGATTATTTATTTCTTTTAAAATAATGTAGATTTTGTATAGTCGCAGAATAAGATATATAACTCTTTCTTAATTATGCACTACTATCACATAAGCCATAATAAGGAGAAATATACATTAAGTGGAAATGTACAAAGTTTGCTATTGGTAGGATTATTCGTTATTTAAGGTAATGTAGTAGATCATTCTATTTAAAAAGAATGGCATGTCATTTCAAATTATGTATATATAATTTGTTATTCATATATAATAAGGACTTAATTATTGCAGGGATATTTGTTGATTGTTTTTAATTCTGCTGCCTGATTCAATTGTTCAAGATGTGGTGATGCTTAATTATATTATGCCAGGATACACCTTACTGGTACATTGTTCTGGAAAAACTACAGTGAAGATACAAGCTATCTGAGTAATTAAAACAAAGTCTTTATTTTAAGGAAAAATTGGGAAGGTTGGTCTATTGAAAATGAAAGTTGGTTAAAGCAAAGTCTTTGTACTGTAATTATCTAAATTTGATTCAACAATCGTTTGACAGATCAATTCTTATTTTGTCCATGTACCCAAAGATCTGCAAAATTGGATCCATTAAATTAAAGTTTTATATAGTTAGTGTTTTATTACAAACATTATAGCTGTGGAACCAGTCATAATCACTAAAAATTACAGATATTATTCAACTTCAGAAAGTTAAATCACGATTATTCTTCCCAACTTAAAAATATATCTGTGGGAAATATCTCATGTATCATACAGCATCTTTACAATAATTAATTAGGGTAATCTTATTTTTTTTCTTTTTTAAGGCTTTTTATCATATAACGAGTTTGGTTGATAAACTGGGGAGACAATCATTTGGGTTTGGTGATTGGCATTGTTAGATGGGATCCTTGGTGATTTCTGATCTTGGTGGTTTTCCTGCAGACGTTTCATTATCAAACTAGGTAATATCATCAAGGCACCGAAGATGTTACCTACTTTGGTAATGAAATGTTTACAAGGAAACCAAGCTCAGAGAGCATCAAGGAGCTCAGAAATTAACCCTAACCTACAAATACAGATAGTGCTCAACTTGCAGCAGTTCATTTAGTGATCATTCAAAGTTACAATAACACTGAAAACAGTGGCCTACAACCATTTTTAATACTTACAACCATTGCAACATCCCATGGTCACATGATCAAAGTTCAGACACTTGGCAACTGCTTCATATTTATGACGGTTGCAGTGTCCCAGGATCATGTGATTGCCTTTTGTAACCTGACAAGCAAAATCAATGGGGAAGCCAGATTCATTTAACAACCATGTTACTAACCTATCAACTGTAGTTATTTGCTTAACAATGGTAGCAAGAAAGATTGTAAAATGGGGCAAAATTCACCTAACAGAGATCTCATTTAGCAATAGAACTTTTGGGCTCAAATGTAGTCGTAAGTCGAGGACTACCTATATTCTCTTCTATCAGTACTGTTAGGTGGGTTTTATTTTGAAACAAATTTTAATCATAGGCTAGAATTATATAAGGCACAATATACTGTAGTATATATTATCTATACTATAATAATAATAATAACTTCATTGATTCAAGCATTGCCTATTCAAGAATCAATAGGACCAGTGATGGGATTCAAATTTTTTTAATACCGGTTCTGTGGGTGTGGCTTGTTTGGTAGGCATGGCTTGGTGGTCATGTGACTGGGTGGACGTGGCCAACCCAGCAAGGTGGTGCGGCACCTTGCTGCGAGTGACGTCGAGTTGGCCATGCCCACTCAGTCACATGACCGATCTTGCAGAGACAAAGTTATTTCCTTCATACCTCACCTCCCCCTCCGACCTTGGGCTGAAAGAAAAAAGCCCAACAAAAGATTGCGACTGCCTACCGAGTCTGCCTGCCAAATGGATTTTGTTTTGGGGTGGTTTTTATTTTGTTTTTTGTCAGAAGCCCCTCAGAGATAAATTTGCACCGCCAAATCTTACTGTACCTCATTGTTGTGGCACTGCCTGTTGCTGCTGTGGGCGCTGCTGCGGCCATCTGGCTGCCCAAGTAAAGAACTGCACTGGCTCAGGGCGACTATGAGAAGCAAGAGGGGAAGCCAAGGCGCTCGTGTCATAGCAGTCAACTTCGCTCTCTCTCACTCCGGTTAGGTGCTCCCAGCATGCACAAGGACCGTGAAGGGAAGCAGACACCACGTGGATGCGTTTTAAAAATCAGAGAACTTTGCCCAAAACTTTTCGTGAATTCAGGGCCTACACCTTTCCCAATGATGAGTTGGAGGCAAAACATCTTCCAGCTCTTAAAGATCAACTTTAAGAGAGCCCTCTTGGAAGAAGCCGAGAACGAGAGCAAAAGTAGCGGCGACAGGGGCGATGGGCATGTGATGGGTCCCTCTGCTGTCCCCTCTCAGGTGACATCCAGGGCTTCGGCACCTCCTCTTTTCCTCAGAGGCATGGTGTCTGCCTCCCTTCACACTCCTTGTAGAGGGACACACGCCCATCACCCTCGCCGCCACTAAGTTTGCTCTCGGTTCTTGGCTTCTTCCATGGGGGTGCTCTTAAAGTCAGCCTTAAGTGGTCCCGGAACATCTACCTGCTTGTGCGGTGTGCACCCTCCCAGAGTATGCTTTCTTCCTTCTCCTGGAGGACGCGCCTCTTCCAGCCTGGCTAACCAGCAGGTGACCACATGTCCTGGGGCTTCTCGCCCCCCCCCTTATTGCGAGATGCTTGCAGCTGCTGCATGCTTTTTTTGGTGCGGCTGCAGTCCAGCAGCCACACCGAAAAAAGCGCATCCTGTTCTATGTGCCGGGCCCAGCAAGTCCAAGCAGTTGATGCATAGAACAGGGCAGCACTGGACCGTTGGAGAAGCGGAGAGAAGCCGGAGATCAGTAGCTGCCTCTTTTGCAGCATAGAAATCCTCCCTTAATCGGCCGGCTGGTCTTCTCTTTCTCTGCCTGTTTGTTCTCTATGGCCGAGGAAGAGGAGATCAGCTGGCCAAAGGCGCCGCGGCTGAGGCGACTCTTTTTCGTTCTCCAGCCGCCTTTTCAGCACACAAATCTTTCCCGAATCAGCTGGCTTGTCTCCTCCTCCTTAGACATACAGAACAAATTGGCAGAGAAGGAGACAGCCAGCTGGCTGATTCAGGGAGGCTTCTTGTGCTGTAAAAGAGGTGGCTACTGATTTCTGGCTCCGCTCCGCTTCTCCAACGGTCTGGCGCCGTCCTGTTCTATGCACCGGCTGCTCGAACTTGCTGGGCCCAGCACATAGAAGGCTGGAGACCGAAAAAGAGTAGCCTACAGCAGCGGCCCCTTTGGCCAGCTGATCTCTTCCTCCTTGGCCATATAGAACAAACAGGTGGAGAAAGAGAAGACCAGCCGGCTGATTCGAGGAGGATTTCTATGCTGCAAAAGAGGCGGCTACTGATCTCCGGCTTCTCTCCGCTTCTCCAACGGTCCAATGCTGCCCTGTTCTATGCCCCAACTGCTCGGACTTGCTGGGCCTGGCACATAGAACAGGGTGTGCTTTTTTCGGTGTGGCTGCTGGACTGCAGCCGCACTGAAAAAAGCATGCAGCAGCTGCAAGTATCTCGTAACAAGGGGGGGCGGGAAGCCCCGGAATATCCGCCCACCCACCTGCTGCCTGGGTTGGGCCAGGCCAGGCTAGAAGAGGTGCATCCGCCGAGATAAGGAAGAAAATGTGTTCAGGGAGGGAGGGAGGGCAGGCGGATGTCCCGGGGCTGCTGCACACGGATGTGCAGCAGCCCTGGGACATCCGCCCGAGCTGCGCCACGGCCGCCAGGTGGTAGGGAAAGCTAGGAGAGCTACCAGGGCAGGTGACTGACTGGGCGACTGGGTCAGGGGTGTGGCCAGCCAGGGGTTGCCACCGGTTCAGCGACCCACACCAAATCATTGCTACCGGTTTGCCCAAACTGGTGTGAACCAATTGAATACCACCTGTGAATAGGACAAATAAAATTGAATACAATAAGGGAAAAAAATATAAATAAGACAAAGTATGAATGTATAATATTGTGATGCTGTTTAAGAGAACGTGATTATTGCACTACTCCAGATGTTGAGGATAATTGGTAATGATCTACATAATATAATCTATATGATGAATGATACTGGAATGAATATTCAATCCATGAAAATGAATGATCTATATCAAATGTTGGAACCATACTATAAGTCAGTGGTGGCTAACCTTTCTGGGTTCCTGTGCCAAAAATTGTGCGCGCGCTTGCACACTCGTGTGCCAGCACCCAGAAGGCAATGCATGCCCCCTATGCCCCCTACACATGTACACACAATCCCCACCCTCCTACCCCCACCTCCTTATCTGCACTGCACCTCACAGCTGATTTTCGGTTGGTTTGAGGCCTTTTTTGGCCTCCCAGAGGCTTGAGGAAGACTTTTGTAGATGAAAACTGGGCCTGTTTCATCACTTCAGGTATAGGAAGTGACGAAACGGGCCTAGTTTTCGGCCTGCAAACCCTACAGAAGCCTGCAGAAGTCTTCCTCAAGCCTGTGGGAGGCTGAAAAAGGCCTCAAACTGGCCAAAAATCAGCTGTGAGGCACGCACATGCACAGTGAAGTAAGTTTGCCAGCAGCTCGTGTGCTGGCACAAATGACTCTGCATGCCACCTATGGCATGCGTGCCTTAGGTTCGCCATCATGGCTATTAGTCCTTCCCAAAAAAGGCTGCATATTAATATGGTATTTTTGTACCATTTAAAAACCAACATATTCAGGACACTTGTATCTTAACTGTAGTTATTGTCTTGTATATCATATCACCTCCTTGCCAAAGTCCCATATTCCAGAATCACTTACTGTATTAGTATTGTGTCGCTTTTCTATAATGAATTGCATGACTTGGTGTTGGCCATGTTGCATGTTCTTTTGCTTTTTATTCAGTCTCCTTGGATCCATTTTCCCCATGCCTCGTGTAATCTATGCTATGGCATCGGATGGCTTGCTTTTCACATGTCTAGCTCAAATCAACCCCAAAACGAAGACTCCACTTGTTGCAACTTTATCATCAGGGGCTGTCGCAGGTGAGATCCCAAGTGAATTTATTGTAAGGCGATGGATGCCTTCAGCCACAGCCAACCTTCAGAGTGATACATGGAAAGTTATGACTATGTTCTATTGCAACTCAAGGTCTAAATTGTGATTCTTTGAGTAAAAATATTATTTTGTCTGTCGAAAACTAGGATACAGATGCATTGGATGAAGAAAATGCATCCATTTCTATCTATGTCTATATGTTGGGTTAGCTTTGGCATATATTGTTGTTACTGCAGCGCTTGAATGATTACATTTTTTGTTCTAGTCTTCTGGGCTCTATGTTCCCTTTGCCTCGCATTCTGTTTGCCATGGCACGAGATGGTTTACTCTTTAGATTTCTTGCCAAAGTGAGCAAGAGGCAGTCTCCAGTTGCTGCCACATTGACAGCAGGGCTCATATCCGGTAAGCTCTATATATTGAGGTTTCTTAACTGAGACCTGTTTTCCCATGCATGGCTCTGTGATATGATGGGCCTTGCTTGCTAATGGTTCGTGCATGTAAATTGGGAACAGAGTGCTGACTAATCAGAAGGCATATTTTGATTATGATTATGGTGGTGGTGGTGGAAGAATGAGCTCCTTACGAGTTCTTCTCCAAAGCTTTCCTTCAGTGTGAACAATGATATTGCCTGGTATGTGTGAAATAAAGAGTAAGTTGATTATCTTGATAGTTTGTTGTATTTTCAATGTTCCCATTGTGCTTTTTGTACAATTTTCATATACACACTTCTACAACCAATCTCTGCCTCTCTTCTTAAGCCATGCTCAGCAGCATATTTTGCCAAAGGAAAGTGGCATGAAAGCTGTGCCTGATCCCCTCTCCATCTGGCACAGTTGCAATCTCAGCATGTTTTATGTCTCTATTTTAAACAGTGTTTTTATGTGTTCAGTTTTTCATAAAAGTTGCCAGTTCAGATTATCCAGTCAGCTGAAAAAATGCTGATTATTTTTGCTCCCACAATATGTATGATGTGCTCATCAGCAACAACAACAACAAAAAAGGTCAGGAACTAATAATACAGTATAATAGAACTACAAAGAACATTTTCTTTATTTTACTGATTTGTGCATTCTCTAATTCCACTTGCAAAATTGTTTTATATTTCTTCCCAATTTCCTTCTTTTGCCCCTTAGGGGTAATAGAGACTGTTTGAAGTGAAATTGATGGATGTAATACTAACATGTTTCAACAAAACAACCAGAAATTTTATGAAAAGAAATCACTCTTTGAAAATCTAATTCTTATTTATAAACAAGTATTGTACCTGCAAAAGGCAATGTGACTATTTTTCTTTTCTCTTAACAGTAAAACAATCCAATACACTTTATTTGTTTTAACACTGTTTAAAGAGGGATAGTTTTTATAGATGCCAGAGTTCAAAATTATTTGCATGAGCTTTCTGCAAGAAACAGAAGATTAACCATTACCACAGTTATCAGAATACTTCATATCTATCTGTACCTATCAAAATAAATACAGTTTGATCCAAAATATTACTTAATTTGCTCAGATGGGTCATTCACAATAAAGTTTTCCTGAAACATCTGCATGCTTTTTAAAATTACTGTGACTTTCACAAACAATAAGGTTTTTTTTTTGTCATTGTCCATTTTAAAACCCATACATTGCAAATGATTTGAGAATAATTTTAACTTAACAAAAGCTTCCATGAATGAATTATTTCTTTCAAACAGATTATAAAAGATTGCTATCATGAACAAACTTTAATGGTCGTATAGCAATGATCTATCCTATTCAAAATTTATATGATTATAATTTGTCAGAAACTGTAAACAGTTTTCAAACTCTGGAAATAAATATTAAATGCTTAAGCATATGATGATAATAAATATATGCTTTACCTAATATGTAAACACTTAATGCAAATGCTGTTTTCCCTCTTCTTCCAGCTCTAATGGCTTTTCTCTTTGACCTAAAAGCCTTAGTAGACATGATGTCTATTGGTACACTTCTTGCATACTCATTGGTAGCTGCTTGTGTTCTCATACTTAGGTGAGTTCTGAAATTGAGTTTATAAGCAAAGTATTTTTTTTGTAAAATAATTTTTGTGTCAACTGTTTTGTTTCTGCCTCAATTATGGAATGCAATATATTTAAATGCTGACCTTGTGCATGAGATAATCATAAGAGGGTTTCAGACCATGTGCGGTTCCTATATTTCTGCAGGTTTTTAAGTGTACCAAACTATGTATTTATGAAGATTCAACTCTGGGGAAGAGCTGCATATTTAAGGCAATGGCTGTATTATCTAATTAGTGTGTTGACAATATAGTGACACTGAGGTGTCATACTGCCTCCCAGATCTGCAAGCGGCATCTCCTGGTCACAAAAAATAAATTTCACAAATTGTACCAAAACTTTATGCTCTTATGTGAGATTTCATAAGATGGTACCATTTCAAATTATCATATTAAAAAACTAAATTATTTTAAATGTAATTTGGGATTGTCTAGAATATTCCACAGTGGTCCTTACCCTTGAAAATTAGGATGATCCCTAATCAATTAAAACACTGTACTTAAATCAGTGCTGATTTAGCATGTATTCTAGAGTTAATTTTGTTTTTAGACTTATTTTACATTAGCAACCCATGTCTGCACACACAGGTACCAACCCAGTTTAAACTATGAGCAACCAAAATATTCAGCAGAAAAAGAGGCCCTTGCAGGATCACAAGGCGAATGTAAAAGTGAATCTCAAATTAGCATGATACCAAGAAAGAGCTTTAATCTACAAATGCTGATTAATCCATCAAGTTTGCCAACTGAACAATCTGCTACTGTGGTGAGCCTTCTTGTGGGTCTTTTGGGTAAGTCCAAACCTATGGGAATGCTTTTAACTTTTTTTTTTGAAATGTTAGTTATATGCAAAATGCAGCTAAAAGATCAAATTCATATATTTTGTAGTAAATTAGTCCTTTGATTCAAGTCGGAAGAAGTGAGGACTTGTGTGTTCTGCATATAAATATAGTTCTCTTTTTTAAAAAAACATTAACCTCTACTTTTTGTATGCATCACAAATTTTCAGATTTTTGAAATACTAAAATAGTCTGTCTTTTTTCTGTTTTCTTTGATCATCTCCATTTAGCTATCCTGGTTTGTGGATTAAGCATTCTGACAACCCATGGAATTAATTCACTTGCAAATATGGAGCTTTGGAGTATTTTTCTTCTTGCCTCTCTTTTCATACTATTCGGGATGATTATGTTTATCATCTGGAGACAACCTCAAAATCAACATAAAGTGACATTTATGGTAAAGGGTGTGCTTGTAGATACCAAGTTTTCATTTTTTGCAAGGAGCAGGAAGAGTGTGGCTAGTTCTGCTATATTTGGAGGGGGGAGTTTTATGAAATGTGATGTGATCACTTCTGCAATTTTGGTGTGAAAATCAATACATAAATGTTAACAAATGTCAAAACAATTTATTTTTGGCAACTCTGGATGTCCGAGAAAAGAGCCAGAGGTACGTCTGAGCAGGTAGAGAGATAAATCATCTTGGGCACATTCCTCCAAGAGATGGTCAAGCAGCATGTTTCTAAGCACTTGGATAGGATGCTGCAATTAACAGAACCAGTGTTGATTTGTAGCAAAGAAAACACAGCTGAGCAGCCTTCTCTTCTTTGAAAATATTACTAGCTTTGTAGATCAGGGTAATTTGTGATAACATACCTTGACCTCAACAAAGCCTTTGACAGATTCTCCTTAATAAAATAGTATTGGACTGATGACGCCACTCATAGATGAATTTGAAGCTGGCTGAATGTATCAAAAGAGGATTCATTCACTAATGGCTCTATGTCAGCTCAGAAGGTCAGCTCAACCAATCAACAGAATTCTGTGCTGCTCAACATTTGAACCAAGGATATAGATGAGGAAATGAGTGGTTAAAGCTGGCACAAAGCTAATAATTTAGATAAAGAAAATCCAAAAAGATCTAGATAGGCTTAAGCAGTGGGCAGGAGGGAATAGGATAGAATTTTACAGAGAGAATGATAAAGTCCTGGAAACAGGAAGATTGGTTTCAAGACATGAGGAAGTAAAGGCAGAGCTCATCCAGCGACTGTTTGGTTTGTTGAAGTACATTAGTTAAAATGTAAGATTTTCCACAGTAGAGCCTCTAACTCAAAATACACATTATAGTATAAAATATAGGTAATATTATGCACCATTTCAGACTGTTACTCCATCTAGACCAACTTTCTCTAAACATGTAAGTTCCCAACTCATGATTTTTCTACCAAGAGCTAACAGTGGGATCTTTTTATGAATATAAAATACTTCTGAAATATCTGTTTATGTGAGCCTGGCTCCAGTAGCATGTCTGTGAAAGATCTCCTGACATTCAGAAGTGATTTATGAATCCTCATACCCCAGTTCCTCTGAAGGGCCGTGTTCACTAACATTTGTTCCATCCATGGGTGTTTCCTTTGCTATTTAAAGTTAAATATTTAGGCAATTATTTCACTCCCCTGCTTGGAGTGTCATTTAGATTGGGATCACATGCAAGTCCTATGGAGAAGAACATGGCTCATCTCTAGTTATTATGTTATGTTGACATACGTGTGCTTCAATTCCATAGATTTTGAAATGAGTGTTTCATTACATTTTACAAATCATAATATAAAGTAAAAGTGTTGGGTATGGATATTTTAGTGAATACTGTGAAATATTTATTCTTAGGTTCCGTTCTTGCCATTCTTGCCATCTTTAAGTATCTTAGTGAATATATACTTGATGGTACAGCTGAGTGGAGAGACATGGATTCGGTTCAGCATCTGGATGGCACTTGGTAGGTATCCCCTTACCTTCTTTTTTGTATAGTGACTTCTGGTAGTGTCCATGTATAAATATTTGCTCAGATGTCTTGTTGGGAGAGGAAATTTTCTAGGACTAGTTTCAGCTGACATTGACAACTTTGCAACAAGTTAAGGAAACCAGTCATGGCATAAGATTTTTTCCCCCTAGTCTGCTCTTTCTTTTTTGGTGCATTCTGCATGTGTAATAAATGTACATTTTTCTTCTGCATGAATACAAAAACTCTGCGTTATTAAAATTTGTTAATAAAATTTGTTTTTTAATAGTTTTCTCTTATATGTCATATAGTGAGACAGTAAGAATTACAATTCAACAGTATATGGGGACTGTCTTGACTATAAATGTTAAAATAATATTTAGATGCTTTCTGAATGTATTTGGGAAAGAATCTGTATATAGTTAGAGAAGGTCAAAAATCAAATTGTAATCTTAGTAGAGTTGTAGAAAGTTGACTGGTATATGGCAAGTGTACAAAAATTACTGGTTGCTTTGTTTTGAAAGGACTCCTGATTTACTTTGCCTATGGCATCCGGCATAGTACAGAAAGCTGTCCCAAAGAGGAAGAGGAAGATGATGACAGCTGCTCAGAAAGAAGCGAAACTTTAGAAAAGAAGCACATGGGAGATTCAAGTGAACTTGAACATGCAAGTGAAAGTGCTCAGTTTATTCCACATGAAAAGACAAGTGAATGTTAGCAATCATTGATAAACCTGCTGTGTGTGCTTTTAGACAGGGATGGCAGCAGAATGGAGTTGCTGGTGAAATGGTGAACTACTTGCTCCCCCCAAATTAGCAGTAACCCACTTGTGCTTTATGGAAATATCTAGCAGAATACATGAAAGATGATCTAAACTAGTTGCTAGATATCTTTTTCATCAGAGACTTGCCTCAGAGGGTTGCAATCTTTAAAAAAGCTGAGCAAGAAAGTGGAGGAAAATTTTCCAAGGGGGCCAATGTGACTCATCTATCATGTTAAATAAGTTGTGATTTCCTTAACAATGTCCTACAACTTTAACTGGCATGCGTTATATAACTAATTCTTAAGGAGCATCTGAAGAAGAAGAGTTGAATATTATGGTTTATAATACTAGAGATGTATTATTAACTGCTTTTAAAAAATAGCATAGCATTGCTAAATAATCACACAACTACTTGATTTCCATCACTCTCGGTACCTTCCCATACCTTGTTTCTAACCCAGCCACCTATTGTGGTGTCGTCTTCTGTGTCATTGTTCCATGTTGCTCCTGTGAGTGAGAGGCTGAGGCTTTCCTTAGCTGTACATTATATCAGAGGCAGCCTCTGAGTATAGAGACTGAGTATAAACTCAGTTATACTTTGTTGTGCAGAATGAAGTAATGGTCGCTGCCTGGGAACACAGCAATTGTGACAGGATGAGGCTGGCAAGAAGAATAGAAAATGTAATCCAACATAATATTGCACCAATTTAAGGATGAGTAGAGATGACCTCAATTCAGCAGTGGGGAAAGGCCCCAGATTCCTAAAAATTCCTGAGGAAAAAAATTACAGTTATCTGACCTAACTTTTGCTTTGCTGTTATCCGCAAGTAGTATAAACCATGACAATTCTTCTAAAGAAATATTTAAGAATATTTGAAATGGTTATATTTGTTAGAAAATCTAGTTTGACACTCTGTTTATATCAGTTTTATTTCCAAATTCTTCATCCTTGCCAATGAAAATGAAAAACATGGATGAATGATTAATTTAAACAAATGATGAAGCACCAGCAAAATGGCACTTCTGTGGAACTGAAGTTTGCAAAATGCTGATGCATCTGTTGACTTCCTTAATATATGAATGTTCTGAGCACATCAATTCTGCAGCACTGCCAGAGATTGGGCTGCAGAACTGTGCACCCATATATTCACTTGGTAGATTGTTCAATTAAATATCAAAAAAAAAACCTCTATTCAAGAACTGGCTAATTTTGGGATGGTGGTGAGTAAAGTAAGCGTTAAGCTTGCATGTTCTTCTGTCCTGCTCCAGTTACAAAGAATTTGGAATGTTTAATTTAGGTCATTGGCTGCTGTTGGCACATTTCATCACCTCCTTAGCAGGTAGTGATTAATTTTAACTAATTAAAAAAATGTCAATTCCAAACTATGGTTTATAAAAATAATTTATATAATCCACAGTTAATAGGAACAAAAGTGAAACATGATGTTAGATTAGAAATGAAGGATTGTCCTCTCAGTCACTTCAGGAGTTAGGAGCAAGCAATGCAAGCTTTGGGCCTACTGTTGCTTGTTCTCCTCACCATAAATTGTGGTTTCTCCATAATACCCAAACATAGCCACTAAATTCTTCTTCCTATCTAGGAAGTAATTCTCTTCAAATTATTTTGTCATCATAGGTGATATAATATTTATTAAATAACTCATGAATAAATTTTTATTTTTGTGAAATAGAGGTATGTATGTATATATTGCAGAGAGGAGGGGGGGAAATGAAAAACATAGCTCAAACGTTTTAGCAAAATTAATGTTTAAGTGTAATAGATCTTTCTTAAACTTTGAGAGAATATATGTTTACCAACAAATGAAGGCATCTTCAGTGTTGGTATCCATTGCTGGCTTTACCTTTTGGGTAAGGTTGGGTAAGGTTGTGAGTTGTATAGGTAGTTCCCAGCATATCAGTTGGGATAAGTCAAGGCACTGAATCAACTTTAAGAAGCATCATGTGCAAGTGTCAGCAAGTCCCAAAGAATTTTTTATTCTTGAGTCCTAGGAGGTTTATTTCCATCGTTCTGTCTGACTGTATGGATTCTTTTTTAATTTTCTGGTTCATTTTCCTTAAACAACCAATAACATGTTAACAAAGGTAATGAATCTATCTAATTATGTGTTGCTTTAATATATTGTAGCTACCTTTGCACTAATTTTTCCTACTCCAGCCTGCTTATTTATGTATAATTTGTGAAACTAATATGTCATTGCAGACTTGAGTATGAATAACAGAAGTGGGAGCATAATTATTTTTAAAAAAATATAAGCATAGAAACTTCATTTAGGTTTCTCTGCTTAAGTTTATGTAAATGGTACAAAACAATTACAAAAAGACATGCAATGGGCAGGCACTTCGAAGGAACAACTGTGCTGTCACCATTTGATCATCTCAGATATACATGTGAATACTGACATTTTATATGTGCAAAAGAACTATACATCTGGATGTTTTACTTGTATTGTTACTCATAAAACAAGCAAACATACATGAGCTTTTTCTTTAAATGAAATTTAGAGAAATACTTTTTGAAGGAAAGTTGATAAAATAGAGAACTAGATTTTTAAAATTTTAGGAAACAAGCAACTTTCTGACTGAAATTTTATGTAAATTATGATAATTATTTAGGAACATACAGAGTAGTTCTTATCCAATTCCCAAACTCTTATAAAATTAGATCTTTTAGTATGGAAAATGAATAATCAGAATTATTCATTTCCCATACGAATTGTATCTACAGTAGCTCTTCAAAGTAGTTACCTAAAGTTATTTTAAATTGCTAAGATATCTTTTCATAACAAATATGTCTTTAGCTTGTTTAATTTTAATAGAAATAGATATGTTGTAGATTATTTATACAAGCTGTGAGGCAGAACACAATTTAGAGAAACCTTCAGACAGAATGTTTAAAATTTACATACTTTGTACTTAGCCCAGGACTGATACTTAGACAAAATTCTTCTAAATGAGAAAAGGAATATTTCTAATTAAATGTGTATATTTATATTTTAATATTTTTCTACAAAAGGCCACATTGAAATTAAGCATAGTGCTTTAGAAGTAAAGAATTATTATCAAATCGTAGATAATTATTAGAATCTAGTTTATTCTAGATATTAATCATTACCTTTCATGTGCCATTTTTTTTAATCTTGCAAGTAAATGCCTCTCTGTCAAGCAAATGTCAATGAACTCATAAACCATATTTACACACCATTCCAAGGAGTCCTTTCAAAAAAACCTAGAAAGAAAGCAAAAAGATACATTCTGTCCATTTGGTAACATTCAGATAAGCAGGAATTAACCCCAGAAAACCCTAATCAAGTAACTACCAAGAAGAAAACCACACTCACTCCCACCAAAAGTCTCAGGGAAAGCTACTTTATATATAGACAAGAAATCCCACTTGCTCTAATAATGTTAACTAGTTGGGTAATGAAACGTCTGCAAGCAAATAGCTCAGCACCAAGAACTCCACAGAAAATGTTAAACCTAAGACTTACATATTATCATCAAAATGGTCATACAGTTCTTGAGCTTCTTTTGCTAGATCAGGTTACTTTGGGTGGCTTTACCATTCATTCCATTAGTAAAATCTGGTGATTCCGTGACAGAAAGATCTTTAGGCCCATAGTCAAGTACATCTGTGAGTAATCCCTAAATGCACGTACACACTTATTAAATGTGTTACTTAATAATATTGCCAGTAAGCTTTGTTACACTACCCTGAGAAAAAGCCCCATTAAAATTGAAGGTATTTACTCCTGAATCAAAATGCAGTCCAGTAAACAGCTTTCATGCACTTACGGCTGAGCTAGTTAATGGTAATAGTGTCTCTGTTTTTCATAAAATAAAAATGTAATCGTATTTTTCCTGCAGTCACTCTTAAAACACAAAAGTCTGGTTGGATGCAATCGTTTACTATAGTTGTTTTGAAATGCGTAGTAGCATTATAAGAGAACCTAAGTAAAATACATGCATAGACATAAAAATCTGAGGATGTTGCATTTTTCACATCTTTTGTCCTGTGTAATGTAGCATTGAATGAAAAAGGGTGTATGGATAGTCCTTGACATACAACCAATTATTTAGTTACAACAGCACGGAAAAAAGTAACTTATGACTGTTTTTCACATTTATGACTGTTGCAGAATTTCCACACTCTCTTGATTAGAATTTGGACATTTGCCATCTGGGATAAATTTATGATGGTCTCAGTGTCCCAGGGTCATGTGATCACCTTTTGCAACCTGACTAGGTAGTCAATGAGGAAGCCAACATCACTTAACTGTGTTCTAACTTAACAACTTCAGTGACTTGACTTAACAACAGTGGCAAGAAAGATTGTAAAATAAGTCAAAACTCACTTAACTGCCTTGTTTAGCAATGAAAATTTTGGGCTCCCTTGTAGTCATAAGTCAAGGACTGCTTGTATTGTATTTGCTGCATAGGCTTGTGTTGGCTGAATCCTTACCCTAGTCACAAGCCATTCTTTCAGAAGGTCCAAACATTTTTAGAAAGATCTGAATTATAAAACACCTTTTTGTATACTGTATATCGATTTTTAAGTTTGTTCTTTAGAAACAGTATTTTATACTTGTTCTCCTATGTGGGAGGTTTTCAGTGTAGACATTTTACAATAACGCAAAAGGTATTCAAATGTAGTTTGGAGAAAAATTCACTATTACGGACCTTGGGTTTGGTGACTTGTAGTGAATGTTTCTGTAAATATGTTTTTTCCCCCTGTCAACCTCCCATAAAACTCAGCTTGAGTGGGAAATCTAGGAAACTAGAATAAACCTCATAACAGGTCATATGTCTAACATTTTATGCAAAGTTAGCTGTATCACTGCCTATGTGTATATAAGTAGATAGATAACTGTAATCATTATTACTGTGTATATGTTTGTTGTTTACTAAAGGGGAGAATCTTTCTGTAAAAGTCCAGCACAATATTGTGTAAACAACTAAAGGAAAAGAACCCACTTTTATTAATGTATAATCACTTGCAACATGTGAAATAGTAAAAAAAAAGTAAATTGGTGCTTTGGCTTTTTTTTTCACTTTTAAAATAATAAATGATAAGAAAATGTTTTTGCTGTTGCTCACTGTAAAATACTGCTTTGAAGAGGGTTGTGCATTTGTTCTCTATTTTTTAAAATAAAACTGAAAAAATGTTGCACATATCACTTTGTTGTCCTTATTCGTGTTTGGGGGAAAAGTTACAAAGCAGTGATTGAGAAAAAAACATCATGTTCAAATAAAATGTAAAAAATGTACAGAAACTTAATGTTCATTAGATTCATGATTATCATCTTAAAATAGTTTGGCATCCTGAAAAATAAACAAGACTTGTGGAAGCACAAAGTTTCAAAGCTACTATTGTATTATATTTATGCCATCATAATTAATGTTTTAGTGCAATCCATCCATCCATCCATCCATCTTGGCTTGCTATCTTGAGTTTTTTTGAGATCAATTTTTAATTGCTTTTAAAATAACAAAGTGAAAACACAAAAGATGTATAAACTTTCAAAAACATCTATGTGCTTCAAATTAAGTTTAAAAAAATACGACAAAAATCTATGTAGTTTATCGTTACAATATCACTCTGCCTGACTCTGGTTTCTTCCCCAAACCCCAAAAACTTTAACCTTGGACTGTCTACTATTGACCTCACCCCCTTCCTAAGAGGCCTGTAGGGGGCGTGCATAAGCGCACCAATCGTGCCTACCGTCCCTGTCCTATTGTTTCTTTTTATTTTTCTTATAAGTATCTATCCCATGTATTCGAAACTATGTTTATTCTTATACCTGTATCTTGTAAGCGATTGACAAATAAAATAAAATAAATAAATAGTAAACGATTCCATATATATTTATCTACCGCAATTTCTTAAACAATGTTTAGGAATTGGAAGGCTTGAAGCGCCGCCTCAGCTTTCTGGGGTCGTCTCGCTTGCCTGCCCGCCTGCTTATCCATAGGTGCTCCCCATCCCCCACCCCTCCATAAAATGGGGGCGCCCCTAGTAGTCTTGCTGGGTCGGAGAGAGGCTCAATCCGTCCTGGGAGTGAGACCTGACCGACAGTCAAGACAACTCGGGGGAGGGGGGGGCTTGGGGGCGGGAAAGGAAAGAGCTACTCCCCCTCCCTGCTCCCCCTCTCTGCTGCAGCCCAGTCCCGGATCAGGCGCGGACTCCGGCTGCATCCCTCGTGGCAGGCGGCGGAGAGGCTTCACCCCTCCTGCCATGAAGCCCTGGCTCTTGCTCAGCCTTCTGCTCCTGCAGCAAACGCTCCAAAGCGGTAAGTCCCGCGGAGTCCGCTTCGCTCTCCTCTTCCGAGCCGCAGCCCCGGCTCTTCCTTTCCTGCGGGGCGTCGTCGTCTAAAAAAATAAAATTTCTTCCCCTTCTTTTCCCCAACCTTGAGAATTTAAAAAAAAATAAAAAATGACGGGGAGTGGGATGGGGGAGATGGTGATTTCTACCGTGCAAAGAGAGCAAAGGACGCCCGTGGCTCTCTTGGCCACAGACACCCCCTCCCCTTCCTGAAAGGGAGCCCGAAGGAGACCCCAAATCCTTTCTGGAGCGCCTATAAGTAATGGAGCCGGAGGACTGCAACCTCCGCCCCATTAAAGAATTTAAGAACTTGGAAACTTTTCATTGATGTAGTTGAAAACAGACTGTGCAGCAATAGTACCTCTGGCTTTAAAACTGTATCGATGGCTGTGTTCTGTATGGTTTTATAGCCCCTCAATACAGCTGGAAAGGTCTGCAGCTTACAAATTAACTCAAACAGGAGAGCCCCTCTTCTCAACAAAAAGGAAAAAATGACAGGGAAGGAAGAGGAATTCAAGGAAAATAAGCATGTTATTCAAGGCATGAAAGACACGTCTCTTAAGAGTTAAAGAACAGATCTCAGAAAATCTGACATCTCCTGGGATATCGGGAATTGATAGTGGTTCCTACCAAAATAAGATTATTCTAATTATTCAGGTTTTATATGCGCAAGTTTTAATTGTATACAATGCTAAACCAAACATTTATAATCTCAGCGGAGTATTTTTGCTATAATTTCATATTCAAAGGGAGAAAACACTTTTATGTTGTTACTTTTCCTGTTTATCCCTTAGGGGTAATTGTTAATATGCATGAGTTTAATTGAAATCAATGCAGCCTTAAAAATTGCCTGTCTCTGTCTGTCCTAGCTGATGTGGCAGACTTAATTGTTGTTAACAATAAACTGCTTGCAGTTTAGGTCCATATAAAAACAGATTGGATACAAATTTTAAATCAGATTTTTTTTCCCTTCCGTTCAGTGTACCCATAAGAAAATATAATAACAGAAACATTCCTATTAATAATGTACTGCGTCCTCTTTTCTCATCCTGCCCTCTCTTTATAATAGCTGTTGGTCAATCTGCAAAGAGCAAACGTCCGAAGGAGCCTGGAGAGAACCGGATTAAGCCAAGCAACAAAAAAGTCAAAACCAGAACTCCCAAATTAAAAGAAAGAAACTCCACAGAGCCTTCCCCAAAGGCCAGCTCCATAATGACACGAGTGATGGAGAAAGGCCACTTCCAGAAACCCACGGCTACATTAAATCTTTCAGCAGGTCAAAGTATAGAGCTTCGGTGTAAAGGGAATAGAATTGGATGGAGCTACCCTCCCTATCTTGACACCTTTAAAGACATCAGACTTAGGTAAGGCTTGCCAAGTAAAAGGATGAAATGGCCCTGAGCTTTATTGCAGTTCTTTCTGAACAAAACACAAATGTGGATGGTCTTGTTCAGGTAAAACACATGAGACAAATAAAATTTTTTGCTTGGTTTAGGTGATAGCATCTCCCACATATAGTTAGATACACCCTTCTTTCAGTGGCCATGGTAGCCAGGGATTGTGAGAATTATAATCCAATACATCTAGAAGACATCTGGTTGGGAAAGGCTCCCAAAGCCTTTCACCTAAAGCAGGGATGTGAAACTCATGATGACATGTTGTCATCACATGACATATCGCAACTTTTTCCCCCTTCGCTAAACGGGTTGGGTGTGGCAAGCACATGACACATGCATGAGTTTGACATCCCTGACCTAAAGCAATGAGAGGTCCTTGGTTTTCTCTGAGCTTGGTTGTTTTCTTGCAGACATTTCATTACCCAAATTAGATAATGACTGATTATGTTACCTAGTTTGGGTAATGAAACATCTGCAAGAAAACAATCAAGTTCAGAGAGCATCAAGAACCCCTCTTGTAAACCCTGAGCTACATTCTCCTTTATTAGTACCTAAAGCAGAGCTCTCCAAACTTGTCAACTTTAAGACTTGTGGACTTCAACTCCCAGAATTCTAGGAGTTGAAGTCCACAAGTCTTAAAGTTGACAAGTTCGGAGACCCTTGGCCTAAAGCAACAGTTGGGCTGAATAGTGAACAATTGCGCCATTCTTTTGGCTTCTTGTTTCCTGCAATCTTAGTCAAAAGTCAGAAATTTACGGTTTCTTTCCTAATGGCCATGACTGCACCATAAGCCTTGAGGTGTGTCACAAATTTCAATATTACAGAGCAGCCATGAGCAACCTTCCCCACCCCCCAAATATTCTGGTGCAGGAAAAAATAGTTTCTCAGTCCAGGGGCAATACCAGGCTCTGGTTAGCAGTCTGAAGGCTCAATCCCATGAGGGCCAGGCGGGGGGAAGAGAGGATGTTTTCAGGAATTAAATGTGCACTTATCTGCGGAGATTCAAAACCATCTAGTTCTTGGTCGTCCCAAAGATGTTTTTCCATAAGGAAATTAGATTTTCTTGGGTGTTTTTTTTTGGGGGGGGGGGTGTTTTGGTTCTTAGCCAAGAAGTTTCTTCAATTCTAACTGACTGGTGGGGAATGACAGGAGGGTTCCACACCCTATTACTCTCTGATTCAGGTGATTCTGGAGACACAGATAAACTGTCAACCCTCAGAGTGCTAACAACCAGATGACTGCAAAGACTGTAAATCCTTCTATTCCTCACCAGTCAGAACTGAAGAAGCTTCTTGGATGAGAAACAAAATGTTTTCAATGAAAAAAACCAAGAAAATCCAGTTGCTTTTTGGAAAAAAAACCCGTGGGACAAATGTGCAAAGTTAAGACATCCATTTTGCTGGCCAACCCTCCAAATGGAAAGAATGGTATCTGGCTTTCGCCCCACCCAGTCTGAATGGATGTTGGCAGGCACCAGTTGGCCAAGAAACATCCTTTTTCAACTGTTGTTGAAAATTCATATCTTAAGATATGAAGCCAGCTGTTCTTATTTCAACTGGAAATGTTCTTTTCATGAGTGTTTATAGAGGATGTCAGTGCTAGGATGGGGTTTTACTTTTTAAATGAGTGAGCTATCACTCTGGGGGAAAAGTAAATATAGGCTTTAACTGTATAACTATATAATTCATGACCAACCTTTCTAGATTAATTTATTTGTATTGATTTGACATTGTTTCTGTACCACACCAATGGCAGTAAGGAACTATTTAATACAAATCACAGAATTCTAATTGAAGAATTAAATATGCCCAGGTAGTTGAAAATAATAATAACAGTCCCCACATGTTAGCAGAAGCATATAATTTTAAGATATCTTCTAAATATGAACAGAAAGAGGGCCAATTTGTGTTGGGGACCAGCAACAAAAAAAGGACATTTCTATATCTTTATTTCTGGATGGGTGAGAATATATTTCTTACGTTGCGGATCCAGTTTTGTAGAATAGTGCCAGGCTTTAGCTGACAGTAGCACTGGATATACTTTAAAAAGTTTCTGAGAACCAAAAACTTGTAATATTTGTTGAAGAAAGTTAGGAAGCCATGATGAGAAACGGTATAACTACCATGATTCAAGAATGATCTCTCTGTCTCTGTCTCTTGGAGACTGGCCTATTTCTATCTTCTATCTATCTGTTTTTGCAACCATTAGGAGGACATGTTTTAATCCTCTTACTAGACTTTGAATAACAGGTGTGAAGTTCAGATCAAATATGTGTAATGTTGTTTT